GAGTTGGCTAAACATCGGACTGAAAACCAAGAGGATGCGTGCGAACCAAACACCATTGCCACAATCGGGCAGTGGTCATCGGTTCAACTGGGCATCGAGGTGCATTGGACACCTTGAACGTTTGAGCCCGTCCAAAGGGCGTATGATCCGGCCCTCAACGGATTGCGGTTTTCACCCACGCCGCCCCGCTACCTTGCGGGTCAGGTTTTGGCTAGTCGAAGGCTCCGGTTGTGGATTCCTCAAGAAAATTCACCTGTCTTGGCCTGGGCAGCCTGGTACTATTCGACCCACATGCAAATCATGGAACGTTTTTCTTCTTCATAAAGAATATTGTACCATGATTTGTTTGGCCCACAGTCTGGCCTCAGCTGTGTGTGAAGCATAATTCATTGAGCCGAACCGTGAACCGGAATCTTTCATTAACAACAAAATACAAGACACTGCCTCCAGTTGGTTGACGGCTGACTGGTTTGGAACACTACCATAAGCAGCATTGTCCAATGAATGAATTTTCGGAGGATCCAATAAGCAAACGAATCTAATGATAGATCTCGTCTAAGAAGACTAAAATTCAGCTGCAATTACTAAAGTGTGTACCGAACCGGTTGACAAGTGCTTCAAAGTTGCAGAGAGGTCCAGACAAACTGAATACCAGTGTTTACGGTGTGCATCACGCACTAAACGCAGCAATGCATCTAACAAATAGAAGGTCGACAGAGAGAGAGAAAGAGTGGTATCTGAGATGATTAAGTGCCACATCACAGTTGGAGTCCTTTGGGTAAAATATCACATNAGATAGTAAGGTGAATAGAATGATGAGAGAGGCAGTTTTCCAAATGGGTACCACAACATAGTTTGCAGTAGGCTACATCGATGGAGTTGTTTTCTTTTTGGGAACCCTAATCGGAGCCTTCGACTAGAAAGTCTCTTCCACAAGGCAGTGTGACCGAAGCACTCGTATGGGAGCTTCTAGAGATCTGTCAAGCAAGGTCTTCGGTTTTCGGTCTAGTGTATTGTTCGCTGATGCACTAGTTCTCAGTCCGCTATTCTGCATCATCCCTTAGTCTCATGCACCCAGTGAGACAAGCGGAACTAGAATGGGATAGCACCCTATTGGGCGGAGGCTGTCCACTGTTGAGGGAAAGCCCCAAGTAACCCACTGCTAAGTACATCTAGAGGGCACTTTTCGACCGGTAAACTGTTCTTTTGCTAGGACGACCTCTCCAGGGGCGAGAGTGGATAGCCAAAGGAAGCCAAGAGGTGCCCAAGAAGCCGGTCTCGTGAGACTGATCTTCGTCTAGATTCTACCAATTGAGCTATCAGACATGATTGTATCTGCTGCTTTGAGGAACCATCCTGTATAGTTTATAGGGTCATAGAGGTGCGCAAGCCATCTCGGTGTGATGGGATACTTGGTGATCGTGATGAACCTGGACAAATCACTCATTCCTGTATTAAAAATGGATTTCTGATATGCCGTGCACCAAAGAGCAAGCTTCACTATAGTCTCAAATCCTCCGGCTCAGTACCTGTGACGGTTTGATATACTATTTTAGCTAACAGCAAACCACAACTTGATATTTTCAAAGGGACTTAGGAATGTGCATTACAATTGAGAGCAATCACCTTCTCGCTGCAATTATGGGGTATCGGCAAGGGTCTAGAGTTTGCTGGAAAGACAACGCCACTAGATATACCCTTAACGTGGGTCCCGTACAAGTTAAGATATATGATCCTCAGAGAATGATGGGGATACAAAATTCTGACGAACAGAAGCCCCATTGTATGCCAGAATGATGTTTTGCAGTTCTGAGCAATATTGGTCATTTAGCGTGATCAGTAGGCGGTTTTTTGTGTGATTAAAGAGTGCGCTCAAAGCGCCACATGACTCGGAATAAAATCGATCTTTTCCTGGTCAACAGTTTAAATCGGTATGAGATCAAACAAATATTGATGAGAAAATCCATATGTACATACATACCAAATTTCGGGATTCCAACTACAGCAGGGTGGGGGTGTAGCGCGGAAAGCACTTTGTACACCATATCACATGAACTTCGATGAATTTAACTCACATGAGATCAAATTGTGCGTTCACTAAGAAAAACTGATTCAAGAGGTGAAACGAAAAATATGTGTGCTGTGAAATCATCCGCTAGCATCCTGTTAATTACCCATCCGTGAATCAGGCATGCAGAAATGAGCAATACATTCAATCGAACACAATCAATCACCTAACTTTGCGCCGACGGACAGCATGCTGTATACAAAAACAATAAGGACGAAACCAATTTCAATATTCGACGCTGACACTCAAGGCTCGTAGCGCATCCGGTTGCGTCTGCAATTGCTTAGACCGAAAGGAAGTTAATGAGTGAACGCATGCAGACATTTATAGCATCCGAAAATCTAGCGCGAACCGAGTTCAACCCGGATGATCCTGGAGTAACAATGAGATACCGGTGAGAATATAAAGAGGGGTTTTAAACTGCATGAGGCACGAAAACTGCGTACGGGATTACAGGTTTGAGAGGAGAAGAGTAGGTAATGCCCACTTTTAGGATCAATGAACGTACAGGATACAAATTACACTGTAATTGTGCTGTACACTTTCCATCACCTTTTCGGTAATCTCAGTGCCTGAGTCGGTGACCGGATAAAAAGATGTACTGTTCGGTTTATAGCACCGGAGGTACAACAAAAGCGAGGTGGGGGTTGATG